AGCTCCTCTCTCTAAATAAAATACAAAATAGGGCTGGAGATGTGGCTCAGTCTGGCTGAGTGCCCTGGAGTTCAATCCCTGGTACCCACCCTGCCTCATACACACACACACACAAAAGTGTTTCTCAGTATGGAAGAAATACAGATAATTTAGCTCATATTTTTGAAAGCTGTTTCCAAAGTTTATACATTGACTTATTCAGTTGTCTCATGGTGAACATCTTCCACAATCCTGGACAGTTCCATACATTAATTCAATAGCTATCTAACCAATGCTAAATCAGAGGAACTCTTTCTTTCCTTGTTCTGAACAGAACATTGATGCTTTTTCCTTGTTCTGAACAGAACACTGATGCAGCCAACAATTGTTTCTGGCTTTCAGTAGCCCATAAGAAGGCTGAAAGACCCAGTGAGCAGGTCTTTTTCATAAGAATTGTAATCAAGCCCGGTGTAGCTGTGCATGCCTGTAATCCCAGCTGCTCAGGAGGCCAAGGTAGGAAGATTGCAAGTTCAAAGCCAGCCTCAGAAACTTAGGGAGATCCTATCTCAAAATAAATAAGTAAATAAAATTAAAAAGGGCTGGGGATGTGTTTCAATGATTGCTGGCCATTGGGTTAAATCTCCAGTAACCAAAAAAAAAAAAAAAAAATTCAATCAAGCAGTTCACCCAAGCAGTCTCAATTTCATGATCATAGAGTAGAATTTGTAGCTCTTTGTCTTGATTTCACATTTTAATCCTGTTAAATGCTAATTTGTTGGTTTTACTTCATCATTGTATGTGTCAAGGAGATTGAATGCTTATTTTAAATTCCAACACAGTAGCTAGCATTCTCAGATTTGTAAGGGCCACAGATGAAATATGCAAATATGCTATGTGATCATTCAAGCCAGGACAGAGTTTTCAGCGGCTGGTTCCGGAGGGATCCCTCCAGTTGGATTTGTCTGTGAATCCACTATTATGGAGTGTTATTGCTTGAGCGACTGAATGGCACCCAGATAGCCTATCATTCAGTCCACAAGTATATTTTGTTTAACAGGGAGATCGTTAAAGTATTTTCCAAATTAGACACTCCAATGAAAATATGGTGTGCCCACTCTGTCTGTCTGAGCCTCTGGTCTAAGTATTTAATCATAAATGAAAACGAGATGATTTTGATGTGATCGATGTTAGTGAATACAAATTGTCTTATACTAACCACCACTTACTTCCTTTTGTAAGTAACAACAAGCCATCAATTTAATAATTCACTCAAGACCCTGGCTAGAGATTGACAACTGAACCACCATCAGTATTTTCCATAATGTATCATTTTTGCAATTAAAAGATAAACATTAGCCTAGAAGGTAAGTATATTGTGGTCATAGGATCATGCAGATACACGTAGCAAGAAAGAGCAGCATGGGCAACAGAAACAGAAAAACCAAGGGTGTATTAGTGAACGCTGAGAAGCTCTGTGCCAGAGAATTCTTTGTTGTATAATTAGGATTAGACTAAAGAGAAGGCTGTGGGTTGCTCATATGGTATCCTTACCGGGACCCTGTGGATGTTTTTGAACTTGAGTCCTGATCCACAGAAACAGCAGTGGGAATCGAATGAAGGAGGCAGATACCAAAGATGTTTTCATGGAATAAAAGCAAAGATTAAATACGTCCATCAAAGTATATTCACAGTATCTACCGAGTTAGAGAAGTAGAAGTTGATTCAGTGAGAGATGTGGCAGAGAAGGGGTGCACCCAGAGATGGACACTGTGCGTCTAAGGTGAGGAGCATGCAAAACACAGAAACTGGAAGTGTGTACTGAATTACAGGAGAAATGTCGATCCTGGGAGTCCTCCCAGACCAGGTGGTGGGAGCCCTGGTAGGAGCGCAGCAGTGTCGCCCAGTTCCAGGCAGCCCAGTTCCTGGCAGCCCAGTTCCTGGGAGCAGAGCCATGTGCCTGGTGCTGCCTGATGCTCAGCATGTGTGGTCGCACTTGATGGTACTGGAGCCTGACTTACAGGCATTCTGCAGTGCTTCTTGGTGTCTTCATTAATTTTTTTTTCATGCCTCAGTTCTCTCTAGGACTTTTTGCCACTGTCTACACAGATTCACAGTGTAGAATGGCTGTTCCTCCTTCCATAGATTGTTCACGACTGTTTCACGCCTGAGAAAAACAAAGGATTCCCTGCACCCCCACCTCAGCCTCTACCTCTCCTACAAGGATCTCCTGTCACTGACTTATTTGATGAATTTCCTGTCATCCTTGGCATAACTTCCTTTTTCCTAATTTCTTTGGTATTTTCTTTGCATTCTACCTCACAAAGTCTTCATGGTACACATGGAGCAAGACGGTCCTTTACAAAAAATAATAGATCCACTTTGGCATTACCACCCTGCCCAGGGCTCAGCTGAGGTCCTCTTCTTAGCTCTGCATGTTCTTTCCATTACTTTCTCCTGTGATTGACTCTAATTTTTTTTTTTTATCACCCCGCTCTCTATCTTCCATCTCTGAATTTCCCTCCATGCTCTTAACCTTGCTTTTGAAGTGTTCTTGATCCTTGAGATGACCTGATAAATATCTAACCTGGTCTGTCCCTAGCTCTTGCCCTGGATTTTCTTCCTCTCTGTAGCTGCCCCACTCTGACCAGCCTGGCCCTCCTCTTAGACTTCCTGCCAACCGCCTGGAAATTTTGTCTTGGGCCACAGGAACCACATCAGAGGCTTGGCAGGGGTTAACCCCTGATTCTCTCAGTCAACAGGCAAAGTAGAAGGGAAAGACATCAGTGAAAACATGAAACTCAGAGTCAGAAAAAGGTTATTCTCATTTCTCTCACTTACCAGCCTCTTTCTTAGTAACTTTTACTTAAACTTCAGAACCTCTGTTTTCTCATTTATAAAATGGAAGAAATGGAATCGATGCAAACCAAGTCAGAGGGTGATTTGGAAAATCATATGTGATAATACTTGAGAAGGAATTTTTTTATAATCTATAGAAAACAGGATCTTATATTTTATCATTTGTGGTGTTTGTCTCTTTTCTTTCAACTTTAGTTATAAAAGGTATGCTCCTAGGACTCTGAGTTGGAAATTGGAAGGCCATGTATCATAGAAGCATCATTGTGCATGGAAGTCAGAGGCTGCAGGGATATCGGTGCAGCAGTACTCAGTAACTCCACAAGTATTAATTGAACCCCTACCGTTTCCCAGCCCCTGGTGATAGAGAAGTGATTATGATCGTCTTTGCTTGAATTTGCAAGAGCTTCCATACCTAACTACAAGTGCTTTTACTAAAACTGTCCCAACATGTGATTCTTCTACTTGAAAACCTTTGTTTCAAGTACACATGGATTTATTTCCACCTCCTTTACAACAAGCTTACAATCGCTGTCCCACTTGACATGTGCTAGAGAAACAGGACAGACATATCGGTGTTCATCGTTCATTGGCCTTTTCCATTTGGACTTTGCTGCTCATATCCATCAGATGTTTGCCAAATGACACATTCAATGGATTGCTTCATATCTTCGAAGGCTCTTTTCCCTGCCTCCTGTGAGCTGGGGCAGGGTCACCCAAATGCTCCCTGTACACAGTGCCCAGTACTAGAGAATGGATCACCACTCAGGCCGGAGAACCTGCTGAGAAAAGGAACTTGTGTCCATTCGTCTGTGTCCACCACTATCTATATATCTAAACACACGGGCTGCTTTCAACAAATTCAGAGAGGGGTATAAGTAATCATGTACTTAGTACAAATGGCCCATGCATGGAAATGGTGGTTCATGCCCACTGCTCTGGGGATATGAAGGGACCAATTCTCTCTGGCAGAATTGGTCCCTTCATATCCCCAGAGCAGTGGGCATGAACCACCATTAGGTTATGTTATACGGAAGCTCTTGCAAATTTATCTCCAGGGAGCCACTGCTTGAGAATGAGCTGTAGCACACTCAGTGGTAAAATGTGGTGGGAGAGGTTCAAGTGCAGGAATCAGGGAAGAGCATGGTTATATAGTGGATGCAAGTGGGTTGCGGGGAAATAGCAGCAGGAGACCAGATAAGACCATGATGAGTTGTAAACTTTGTCCTAAGGGCCAGAGGGAATCACCGAGTGGGAAGAGACAGTGATAATTATATTTTAGTTCTGACTTTACTATGGATCCACTAAGAATAAAGTAATTGTCTCTCAGTTTTCCGTCATTCTTTGTGATATTTATGTAAATCCATTTACTTAATACCTTTAATCTAAAATTTATTGTTTTATCAGAGGTCAATTTATTCTTTTTTAAAATTTTTTTATTATCAGTTGTTCAAAACATGACA